ACAAAAGAGTCTAGCAGCTTGATAAACAACTAAAATCAACAAAGACTCTTATTAATGCTCTTAGAGAACAAGAAAACCAGTAGCTCATAATGTCTTCATATGTCTATTGCAATGCATTGATTTTAGAACATCTGCTTTCCATTTTCAATGTAATAATTAATTATTTGGTATTACTTTATGATATTAATATTATCTTATTTTTTTTTTCTTATTTTTGTTTTGATTTATTATAACAAAATACTTTGGATTTAATTTATAAATTAATTATCCATCCGTGCCTATGGAATCGTTGTTACAGAAGCACGTCTATGTAATTTGCTATGAAATCCGCTAGAATATATACACCACACAATTTGCTAGGGATTCATCACCATGAAATTTGCTACGGATTCATCAACCATAAAATTTGCTAGGGATTAACCACCATAGAATTTGCTAGGGATTCACCACCATGAAATTTGTTCATCGCCATGGAATTTGCTACAAATTCATCACCACAAAATTTCCTATGGTTTTATCACCACAAAATTTGCTAGGGGTTCATCACCATGTATTTTGGTAAGGATTTATCACCACAGATGTTGCTAGGGATTCATCACCTCAGAATTCGCAACAGAAACCTTCAACGGAATACATGACCGAATACCATCTACAACTGATTTCATTTCGTTGTCACGTTTGCGACGAAATGATTGTTTCCCACGCAAACCCTCACTTAGGGTTTTTTGGAACGAAAGTTGACCGTCACAAATTCCATTGCTATACGTCTTTTGCAACTAAATTTCAGCTTTTCGCAATAAATTTCTTCCCTAGCAAAATCACGTTTTTTGTTATACCGAAAGAGTGACAAAAATTACAAAGTGCTACATTGGATGACAACAATTTGGTTAATCAACATCCAAGTAGGAGCTTGTTGAGATGTGGAGCCTAATTCACCATTTGTGGGCTAGTTCATTTATTGGATTTGACATCAAAATGAGACATGTGTCATACCTGTTAGATTTTTTAGGTTTTCTCTTGTTGCCAGAAGGCGCGGAGGCAGGGGTAATCAAGGAGGAGGCATAAGCAAGCGAGGCAGTACAAAAAGCCAATGAAAAAGCTTTGGTTTGGTGTCGGTCTTTGTTTTATTATTTAGGAGAGAAAAAAAGAAGGAAAATACAAAGCATAATGAATATACCTTGGACGACTGTGAGAGAATGTTGTCGGAGGTGGAGGGTGGCGCCTGCGGATTGTAGTCAGCAGTAGGGTTTTAACCTAGTGCTATGATATGTTGTTGAATAAATTGCTTTGATATTATTGTTTTATGCTCAAATGAAGATTGAATACAAATATATATATATATATATATATATATATATATATATATATATATATATATTCATTATTATATATAAAAGCCTTTTTATTCTGGTGGCTTCTAAAACAAATTCACGGGGTTCAATTTCTGCCACGTAACTCGTTGCTGAACGACGTATTCTACAAAAAAAAAAAAAATGTCGATTCAATTCTTATTGATCGTCACATCCATTGTACTGGTAAAGGAAATTATGTAAACCCATTCATCCTCCATACTTCTATCTATTGCCCATTTGGCTACTCTCTAGAAGAAGCCGATTATATTTCTCACCGTTACAGAACCCTTATTAAGCGACCAACAACTTTACTTCACCGCCATAATTTTGCAATCAGAAATACAAAACAACTCAAAGTGAATTTTCGTCATGCTTTCTTCCCCACAGGTAAATCATCACGAACCGTAATTTGATTTTGAGTTTAATTACTTTAGAGGTAATCCAATCGAAGGTTTTTCTTGCCCAGTTCATGTTTCATTTAATAATTTTATGGCTTGAATCTTCCTTTTATCTTCCATCGGTCACAATCAACATTCTCTCACATATTATCATGTCAATAACTATTAAACTTGAGGAAATTCAACCGTTTAGTTGTTCCTTTTTCAAAATCATAATACCCAATCTTTATGAAGGTTGGTGTCGTATATGTGCCCCAAACTAGAATTAACCATAATTTTCCTAAACTGCATGTATTTTTTTAATGATCTGTTTGCAAAACATCAATTTTCCATCAATTAACAAAAAAAAAAAAAATTGAAATAGCCTTCACATTCACGTCGTCGGATATTGAAGAACGTCATTGATATCCAAAGTTGATTCACACTGCCTCATGTTCCACTTTGTTGTATTGATTTATTAGCCAAGAGTGTTTTCATTGAGTGAAGTGTTGATATGGGTTCACAACCGTAGAACGCATAGAAGAGACATAGCTTTTTATTTGAGGCGATGTTTGGATTCAAATTCTACACATTTCGGCCTATAAAATGCTGATACATCTCAATATTTTAGTTTATCTGTTCCAAATGCTCTTGTTTCCTACCGACATTGCATTCTCTCTTGGCGAATATACTACCGTCTCCCTAATCACAACCCTCAATTTCTTTGCTATTTAGTTAGAGATTTTTTTTAATTTTATTACTTTTCTTAATTAAAGGTTTGTTACGTCTATCTTTTCTTATATCCAGTTTGAAGATTGAAAGTTTTTGCTTTCCATAATTTGTAGTTAAGTATCAGAATTAGTTACTTCTGTATTCAATTTCTCTCGGAATTAGGAAATTGAACTTCGCCTTCGTCAAGAATTTCTCATCTTATTCGTGGCTTTGCAAAAGATTCATTGACTAAAGTTTTAATTGATTAATTCTTTTTAACTATATACTTTTGCATTCAATCGCTGAATCATGATATCAGGCCCCATACAACATTCAAGAATCAAAGGCATAGTTTTCGTCTTCTTCTTTGAAGTCTGACATTCATTTCTCTAATCAGTGTCATAACTAAACAACAACTATGCAACTTGAGGTATATTAAATCACAAACATCAATGATTTATTTCAGAAACATGTATTAGGATTTAGGGTTCTTATTTTGATTTTTGATGTGGATAAATCTTGCTATTTCGGAAAAGAAACGATTGTAAGCCTAAGTGATTACTAAGGTCGAAACACCATGAATGTGGATGAGTTGATACAACATTTGAATCATGTATCTAAAAAATCTTTTTATTTTGACCTGATGATATAGGAATTTATTTAGTTCAAAAGATGTATATGGAAAGATTGGAATCATTGAAGTGGTATACAAAATGATCTTTTTGATTTGATTGGGTGATTTAGTGTGAGTCTTCTATTTGGGACAACACTATGGACTTGGATTCTATCTGTGAATGTGAAATGTCAAACACAAGGTACTGCTGCAACATCACAATTGGGGTACGGTTGGTTGGATGGGTCTCATTTGTGACTTGGTGTTCCTGGTGACATATTTTTCTGACAACCTTCAATTGTTGTGTGTGTCTTGGTGTGTGTTTTATTAGAAAGGGTAGAATACTTGATAGGAACTTTTCCTGTTGTAAGATAAAGTATTTTTTTAAAACTGATTATTTCGTATGTGACTAAAGGGAAAAATATAAGTGGTTGAACTTCAATATTCATCAAAATATAATGGTATATTTTAAAAATTTTCTTATATTTTGAATGATTTGTTTTGTGTTCTAATTTTATTAGAGCTGGAATCTTGAATATAAGTTTTTGGCAAATTATCTGGCAAACTTGACGTTGATTGACTATAACTTGGTATTTGCTCTTTAAAATGTTGTTGCTTCCACTGTATTTCTTGCCGATGGATGCTAAATCAATCGTACCACCCATGGTTTCAACATTATGTATCTTTTTTCTCAACATAATAAAGGGTGTAAATAGAATTTACCATGGTTTTTTTAATTCCCTATTGAATGTTACTAGATCAAACTATAAGGCAAGCTAAGGAAGCTATTAAGTAACCCTTTTGTTCTTTTTTTAACTTCTTAACCATTAATTTCAAAGGTTGTCAATTTTCTATATTTTTTGTGCTTACAGTTTGAATGTGTTGCAAGTTTTCCTTCTCCTTAACTACATGAAACGCCATTTTAATAGATAAGAAGGTGTATTCTCTCAAGAGTATGCTTATTTTCCATATATGCTTGTCGCACACCATTAATGTAACTATTCTTGAATTGATCTTCATAAAAAACACATGGACATCAAACTTTACATTTACCAGTACTCTTAGCCTCACACTCAAACTGATTAGTTAATTAGATACATAAAATATACTTGTACATTTTCTTAATTTTCTGACTATAAATGTTGATTAGTTAATAGTAGAGTTTAAAGATCATTATATCATAAGGGGGACCATGTTAGAATTATTTCTGAACACAACGCCTCACCCCCTTTACTTGGTTGGGAGTCCAAGATAAGATGCCTATATTGTTGCTAAGTAGGTGCCTTTTAAGGGTTGCAACACCAATTCATGTGCATGGCTAAACAATACATGCCATTGATTTTATTCACATCTTTGTTTTCTTTTTTCATCACCAAACGTAACAAATCCGTACCATTTTGAACACGATTACTTTTAAAATATAAAATTGTAATTTACATTATATAATCATGAAAAAGTTCATGTCATTAAGATTAAGAAGAACTAAAATGGGCTATATTGCAATTTCGTATCTTTCAGTGATGGAATGAAAAACAAACCCCTTGGATCGACATAGAAAATGGTGAATTTGAGTGGTTATGATGGTGTCAAATGTGAATGAGCGGGTAAATGAAAGTAAACCCTTGTGCTACAAAAGGCATATATCTCACATCAATATCACAGAAGATGTATGTCGAAAGTAGCATGACATATTGTCCAAAAATAGCTGAGACCCTAAAAAGTTTAGGGTCTCAGCTATTTTGGGATATGATGTGTAAACTAAAAATGCATTACCAATTAAGTGTTCTGGTCCTGAAATTTTTTAGTTAAGGGAGAAAAGGCATGTCGAAACAATGAATTCCATGGGGAAGAATTCTAATGTTGTCGTAAAATAACATTGGATTTTACTTATTTTTCAATATAGGCTAGCTACTATACTTTTTATATTACAATGTAATTTCATATTTTATCCATAATAGCATTGCACTTTTATTTCATTACCAATAATAAAAGAAACTTGGTTCTGTACGGAGAATAGCAACATACTTAAAATTCCTTAACTATACTAAACAACCTTTCGGCTATAATATTTTTCCGTAATGTTTTAAAATACTTAATTACCCTCCATGGCCCGTGCTTAGCACGGGCCTCAAAATATTCCTAGTATATATATATATATATATATAAAAACTCTAAATCCCCAACCCTTTGGGGTTTTACCGATAAGAGGTCGCCACTATGACACAATCAAGATCGATCATTAATTTATCCACCAAAGAGGGCCTATTAGCTCCATTTCACACGTTTAAACAATAAGTTAATATCAATGCCATGAGCCTCCATGCTATAACTAGTCCGCACAATATTTTTTCCAATGAGTGGAAAACTTCTTAACGTGACAGTAGGTTCCAAACCGACCACAATTCCCATATATCAATATGAAACCAATACTTATAAAATAATACTTAAATACAACTCACGATTAAGCTACACGCGCGTTATTACAATATGATAACATTCAATATACCTAGGAAAATATATTTACCAATAATTTGGCGAGCGTTTTTTACGAAACACTTATGCTGTCGAATCATTTTTACCAACATAAACTTCAATGCACCATGGATAATATCTTTAATTCGTGAATGAAGTGATGAATCGGTAGTTTAACGGTACATTCCTCCCGGAGCCATAGGTGGCATTTGTACTCCATGATTTTGTCTCTCCATGTTACCTTGCCATCCTTATTCAGTCATAATCATCCAAATCAGACTTTGATAAATATTAATGCAATATATTTCTAATGTATCACATGTTTAATTGGACATATATATGTTGGCAAGTGATCAGAGTGCATGCCTACCTATAGATATGTCAAATCCCTTATGTTTAAGCTGACGATACTCTTGACACAAGGCACAGGGTTCGCAACAGACATGAACAAGGCAATCGTTGCAAGGAGTCTCAGGCAGTCCATATTGGCTCCTCATCTTTGTCCGAAATATACAAGAATACAAACATCCACAACATGTGAATGCTGCAATTATTGCATAGAGAGCCCCATGTACTCCACAGGCTGTATTAATTACATACCAATTAATATGTTTAATTTAATTAACACTCAAATTTATTTTGTTCTGTTGATCCAATCTTGACAATGTAATCATATACTTTCATCCTAGGTTTCGTATGTGCGGTAGTTATCAGAAGATTCTTGTAATCTTGTATAAATAGTGTTGCAATAACTTGGTGAAAAGAAGTTCAAGATTGGAATATATCATATATAGCTATAAGGACGTCGAGAATAATTATGTGGCTTATATATACCAAAAAAAAAAAAGTAAACAATTGAAGTTAAAACGGAAGCAACAGAATTTAAATTCAACATTTAAATCAGAAAACCCTGCCTTAATCCACTTACAAGTATTCCCCTTATCAACAATCTCAGCAATTTGTCCAAAAGTAATGCATGGACACCAACATGTTAGGCAACCTGTTTTTACAAAAACAAAGAAACATAAGTGTTTGTACATTGTGATATACACTTGTAGCAGAGAAAGAAAAGAAAGGTGATCAACCATGGACTTACAGTTGGGTACATCCGAGCAACAGGCACAAAGGCTGCTGGACCATATCCCGTTAATGGGCTGAGGAACCACGTATTGACCTGGAATACCTGTGGCATAATGCGGTGGTTGGTAATTCGATTCTGGTGGTGCCGGTGGTTGGTAATATGATTGTGGAGGATAGTCTTGTGGATGAGAAGGGTACATGGTATTTGCTGGTGGCGAATCTTGGAAATTGAGATATTTTTTTATTTTGGTCAGATGAACGAATATTTATTAATGTTCAAACATGATTGGAATTTCTATGCATCAACTTGGAAGTTTCACCATTGACCAAGACGTAACGATAAGGTTTTTCTAAGGCTGTTATTAACTTCTATTTCAGAAGATTCTATGTCAAAACAATTTTGAGAAAATTAATTTTTGGGTGTGCAGAATCTTATAACCTTTGAAGCGTATAAGCTTCGAAGAACAGATGTGGCAGTGGTAAAATCGTAAAAACACATAAATAAAATATCAAAAAACCGTTTTGAATTGGGAAAGCCTTTGCTGCGGTAAATGAGTTCGTTGGCTGTGAAAGAAAAGACGGACGATCGATCGGAATTGGAAACGGGTGGTAGTGAGGAGGAGGGGAGATCAAAATGGTGAGGATTAAGCGGGTAAATTGAATCAATGTTTTAACATATGGCTATCGAACGAGTAAATTGAAGTGTTTTATGAAAAAATTCATCAAAAATCCAAGATTTTCAGCAAAGATGAATTCCTCATGGGGTACAAAAGATCCGCAGAGTGCTGCTCTGCGTTGAAATATACACATCAACCTAACCCACTCAGTTTCTTTATATCACAAGTTGCGATACAAAGTTACATGCATGATGAGAGATTCAATGAAATATAAACCATTAGTATGTTGAGACATTATAAGTGTCGGTTTATATTTATATTTCTTCTATTAGTTATGACATCCGCAGCGTTAATAAATCAATAGAAACATTTCTTTGGAAATACTATTAGAGTACCAAATTCCATATTAATGAATAACCATAAAAAAAAAAAAAAAAAAAAAAAAAAAAAAGTTTTAAAGTGACCTAAAAGTAGGGATGTCACTCTAGTTGTCAGGATATTTTAAGTGGACCCGTTACTAATTTCCTTTTAATGGGAAATCGACCAAAAAACATCCTACTAGTGAGTTGTTTGTTCCTCTTCGATGCAAATAGGTTCGTTGAATTACGTTTTTTCCAGACAACTTACATACCGGTCTTCCATGTGTTGATTCGAATCTTCTTATTGTTATCGGGT